TTTCTATGCTACATGGCTAATATTCTTGCTCTCTTCAATCAGTAAGGTAGGTTGGTCATTTAGCAGTCACATGCTTTCACTGTCTTGACAACTCTATGTTTATGGATCTGATTTCATTGCTATGTGCAGGAAAACCTCAAAATGGTGCTTCTTCCCAAGAGCATGCACAACGTGACATTAAAATATCTGGACTCGACAAAATCAAATTAAGTAGGAGAATATCCTCTAACAAGCCAATTCCTAATAGTAAGTCTGTTGGCAATTTAGTGAATAAAATGATGTTGATCTCCAGAAACAACGCAATCTTGCCTTTTCTTTGCTTAGTTCAACTTTACATGCACTTTTATTTTGTTTCTGCTATCAAACTTTAGTACTTTTCAAAAGTATTTAGATATCGATAAGTAACAGCAAAAACTTCCCATCCCTCCACTATTTTTTATAGCATGTTGTTACATAGTATCACACATGATTACAACATCAGAAAAGTATATTATAGGGTACAGAACTCGTGATCTTACTCTCAACATCTAGAACCTCCATTATGCTCACTTTTCCTGCTTCCAATTGGCTTTGCTTAACAGGGGAACCTCAAATTGGAGCTTGTTCACTGGAACATGTGGATTCAAAGACTGCAAGTGTTAACAACTCTACAAGTTGTCAGATATCCAAAACTAACTCTGTTCGTGCAGGTAAGCTGTTGAAGCTGTTGGTCTTTTCTTTATGTAAGGAGCAGAATTTAACTTTTCTCCAGAAGATCTGGTCAAGATCATTTGCTCATGACTTTCAGCCATTTTGGTTAATCAATGGAACTTCTAATTAAGACAACAAATTGAAAGATTCAATCATATTGAGTTGTATGTGGCACACTACTTAGGCTGGATCAAAGAGGCTTTAAAAATGGTAAAACTCATGCAGGAACTTTTGAAAGCTCTCAGTATTTGTTCCTTCACTATCTTAACCTATGTTGCTTGGACTCTTCAAAAATGTCGACGGGTGCATGTCGGATCCTCCGAAAATAGTGTATTTTTTAAGGATCTGACACGGGTGTGACAACATTTTTGGATAGTCCGAGTAACTTAGATCTTAACGAGCACCTGTACTCTTGAATTTGTGGACTTATAGTTTGCTGAGCCTCCTTACCTTGGATTAGTTCCTGAAAATCTTACACGTGGGGTACTGGCTAATTGTCATAACATTAGAAATGCTTTTTCATTCAAAAAGTGGCATATGTAGGTCACAAGAAAATCATTACAAGTAATTTCTGAAGTAAGTTCTCTAACTAAACAAAAAAGGAACAAAATGTCAACCACTTATGACAGGGGGGGACAATAGGGTTAGGACAAAAGTGGAGAAATGAGGCAAACAGAGAAACAAGAATAGAATCAGCAAAACAGAATGTGGGGGTAAAGAGTTACACTGGAGTTTAAAACTTTACTGTTTAAATCATTTTGTGATGTTTGATTGAGGTAAAAGAGGAATGATTGGAGAGGGGAAGAAAAACAACAACATACCCTGTGAAATCCACTAAGTGGGGTCTGGGGAAGAAAAAGAGGGATGCAAATTATTTCCCTTGTTTGGAAGGTGTAAAAGTGGAGAGATTTGAAATTTGGATACACAAAAGTAGAAGTGGAGGGGTTTGATTATATGATGCTCAGAAGTCGAACTACGGTGGTTTGAATTTTGGATTCTCCTGTATAGCTGCTTTTTGAACCCGCCCCCCTTGTTTGCAGCAAATAACCAGAAGTAAATCATCAATTGTTTCTCTCTCCTGTATCATTCCTTCCCTTTTCATGGTATCAAACAAATGTCAGCAAACTGCAATTTTTTCTTTTGACTAAGCAAGTCATAAGGTTTATTTGGGAAAATTGTGATATTGTATCATCAAAATGAAACCCCGAAAAGCTGAATCCCCCTTTAACTAATGTTTTGTTTTTATGATAAGCAGAGATAAGATGTTTTCTTTCTTCTTATGCAAATGAACATGCTGACAGTAACTACTCTGTTTTAGCTTAATAAAAAATATCAATGGAAATGGATTTTCCTTCTACTGTTGTACATTTGTGTTATTGACAATGTATGACTTTCATAATTTTGTTTTGGGGATAACACTGAGCTGCCTTTGGTTTATTGATGTTTGTGTAAGAGACCAGCTTAGCTTGATACTTAAATCAGTCAATAATCTCCAAGTTCATACTATATAAAGATAAATATCAAGGACTGGTGTATATTTATCCAGTTCAACTGATTAATTAGACATGCATATATGCTATTCATTGAGTAAGCTAACTTACTTCTTTTTGGCAAGTATGCCCCATAGTGTTTTCTTTCTGCCAATCTAGTCAATTGCTAAATACATCTTTTTAACTTTTGATGCTATATGCCTCTTGACAGCCCATGAAATCTTGTCCTTTCTTAGAAAACCCGTCACTTCGGAAGGTGCTGTCACAGTAAGGGACAACACATATGCAGATGAATGCCAACTACTGCAGTCATCAAGTCTTGCTTGCAGTGTTGTTAAGAGTCAAACAGAGGAACATCTGCCTCAAGGCTTCAATGCTGAAGGTAGTTCACCAGAGCATAGGGAAGAAGGAATTATCCTGGCGCACATCTCAGAGATGAAAGTTACTGATGCATTCCGATCGGACGGCATATCCCAATCATTGGATTGTTCCAACCAGAGAGTATCTCATACTCATTCATCAGGCTTGTCAGCAGGGTAAGTACTGAAATTCATATCACAACAGCTAAGCCCCCTTTTATTTGTCAACTTTATCTGCTGATGTGTCTATGGTTGTGTTATGATAATCCATCTTAGCTATGAAGTGACACAAAGCGAGAGGTTATCACTTAATAGGTGAAGCTATGCACTTCAGAGAAGTTCGCACAAAGTGATTCCAACAAGAATCAGTGGTTTCTTTGAATCTAAACTTTGAGGGGCTGGATTAGTATGACATCATTATATAATGGAAGCTGAAATTAGTTATTTTAATTGCAACTTAATTCATAGATACTTGATATTTTTTAGTCTTATGAAACTTGTGTGCTTAGCTTCAAAGAAGTGTGAGTTTCACTTCTCGCTTTTCACATCAAACTCCATGGACCTTGTCGCTTTTTTGCACTTTTTGCTTTTTAATAACATTGGTCTATGGATACCTAGCATATCAGGATAAGACATATCTAACTATTGTTCATATGTGTTACAAACTTACGATTATATGACAATTTTAACTAGTACTTGTCATATTTGGTTTGAATTAATTCTTTCCAGATTAGCAGCAGCGGATATATGGTCGTGTGATATAGAATACGCTCTCACAGAGAAGTCCCCAACTGCGAAGCAGCAGAATTTGGCTATTCCCGAGTCAGACTCTAAGGTTCAAACAGTTGAAATACTCTGCCAGGACAGGTCTAACAAAATTTCAGAAATCGAGAAAGTATCTGAGTCAGTCTCTTACCAAGGCAAGCATCCTCAAGAACTCATAACAGCATATCAATTTTCTACTTCCTCCGGTCCATTTTAATGTCTTTAAAGGTTTTGGCACACCCATTAAGAAAATCATTTCTCCTAAAAAATGAGTATACTGTTGCTGAGATTTTTTAAGAAAATTGTATAGATCATTTATTAGAGCAAGGTAGTATGAAAAAAACAATTAATGCCTTTTGGTTTCCTTAAGCAATATTTATTTGGGAGAGAAATTGTTTTGTTAAATGACATAAAAATGGACCGGACGTAATATTAACTACATTTGCTGTCATTTGTTCCTATCCATGCAGATAATCCTAGTGGCTCAATGCCTGCATTAACAGATGTCTGCACCTTAACTCACACGTCCAACAAGGTAAGCCATTGAACTCCCTGTTCCTTTTTGAGCTTCAAGTCAAATATGATGAAGAGAAACTTGGTTTCCTTCTCCTACACAACAAAAGGAAAAAGGCCCAAGGTAAGCATTCCAACCAAGCCAAGAATAAGAGGCCAAGAGGGAATATGAGTTGAAAAGTAGGGGAAGAAAACATTACCAATTCCGGAAACAAAGAGTAGGGGAAGTTTCGAAACAAAGAAGAAAAGAGGAACTTTGGAATTAGAATATTGGTTTTGATAGAAACTACTAGGAAATTATATTTATACCAATCAGCTTTTAACAGTAGAAGATTATAACACCAAACTTCTCATTCATTATTTACTTGAATGGATTCACTAATGCTGATTATAACATTGTTTTTGCCACCAATACTTGTTTTCTGACAGTATCTGCTGTTTTCCTTAGCCTTCTGCGGATAACAAGCAGATCGATACCCAATGGCAAGAGGGATTTTCTGGTGTGATCAGTGATACTTCAAATGATTCGGCTCCACAGTCCCCTTGTATCTCAACTAAGATAAAATCTGAGCATGACATCAGTGCAAGCAAAATGGATGATTTTCCCAGTTTTGATCTTGGATTTGACTAGGATTATTGTTATTTGGTTCTTTTCCATGTATCAACAAAGTACCATCGGCAAGGCTTTTCTAATGGTTGGAGTTTCTTCACAATTACTGTTGATTAGAGAGAAAACAGAGTTAAAGATTTACTGAAAAATTGAAGCTAACGACTTTGTGGATACTATGGTTACTAGACTGGGTAATTTTTGTATGAAAAGTGAGGATATGTGCATATTATGTTAAAGTAAGACTACTCAAATAATATATTTTTCTTTTTGAGTTCAATATTGTCAATATCTATATGTATTATTACATAAAAGTTTAAAATAGCTAGGAAATATTCCCTCTAGCCCAATTTATATGACAACTTGAATTTCAAGAGTTAAACAAGAAATTTTTTTATCACGATTAATTCTTGTGACTTATAGTAATGTTTAATGTTTAAATATGTAAATCATTTTTCTTTTATGTCTGAATTCGGTCAAAGTAAAAAAGTTGACTCCCAAAATTTGAACTGTGTCATATAAATTGGGACGGAGGGAGTATGCAGCAGTATTTTCAGAAACAATTTGATATGGTCACAAGATGAAAGGCAATTAACTTTCAATAACAGATAGTAGTTTTACATTTTACAGAGTTTTTGAACTTTTTTCTGCCCTGCATTTTCATATCTTTGGCTCATGCAGTAAGCCAGGTTCCCATATACTTGTAACCTGTTCTACTTTTTGTATGAAGTCGATACCATCAATCACTGCCTTTTTTGCTCGAATAAACTTGACGATATCTCTATTTACTGGTTTCATCATCTATCGTCGTGGTATTTTGAAGGTATGCCTGCCTTTCTTGATCCCTGCCCATGACCATGACGACCAAGAAATGCTGTAAGTAAATTCTTACTCTTTCTGGCGTATTCTTGCATATCCTTTGCACTGTTTCTTTCAGGATTTATGGACATTGACATCGCTCTCCGTGGCTCAGATGGACACTGTGCATATCCAAGAACATACACTTAGCATAAACCAGCATTTTTTTCTTCTCTACAAACATAATGTACTTGATTCAGCTACGTTGCTCAGACTCTTTAAAAATGTTGATAGGTGTATGTCGAATCCTCAAAAACTAACATGGATACGACAACTATTTTTGGAGAGTCCGAGCAACATAGCTTGATTGCATCGATAAAAATTCTTACCCTCTGTTTAATACTGGAAGTGCTGGGTGAAATTGATCTGGTTACAGCTGATCCAAAACGAATGAGAGGAGAAACTGATCTATTAACAGATCCAGAACGCTTGAGACCAAATCTAAGTGGTGAAATTGATCTTTTCCCTGTTACATTATTGAATATGTTAGTCGAGTTTATCTTCTACATACTGATAACATATAAAAAACAGTACACTATCAGATCACCTAAACGATAACTACTACCAACAAAAACCACAAAAAGTAGGACTAGTAACATGGAAAAATAAGGCCAATTACCTCATAGAATAAGTTAACAACTACGATAGTGCAAAAAAAAAAAATTACGTTGTTTGTGTATATAAGTTAAATCTGTGTTATTTAAGTTGTACTTACCAATTTCTTTGTTGGATGGACCCCTTGTAAATGAGAAGTTAAGAGGATTTGGAGAAGCATCTGTCCATGAAATCTTGGAATGGTTTTTCCTGTGTCAATTTTAAATTTGTTACAAATATTGTAGGCAAAAATTGGCCCAAAAAAAAAGAAAAAAATTGTTATCAAGAATATGCTCTTTTATTGAAAAAACTTACATGTACTTTGGTTTAGATGGATGAGGCTTTAATGGTAGAGCTTGAAAAGGATGAGGAAAACAATCACCTAATGTCAAGAGAGAAAGAACCAAAGAAAGTTAAAAAGAAAAAGAATTGCAAAAAAAGGTCAAAGATTTAAAGAATTTTGTAAATTTTATGATCGTCACATCTGAAAGTTTAAATTGTTAGAAAGAGTACACTATTAATCTTATTCAATTACATTATGTTTTAACATGCCCCATTAAATTGTGTGGTCATCTCATCTAAAAGTTTAAACTGATTATGTAAAAAATGTGCTCCTTATGACGGCTTAAACTTTTAGACTATGTCAATCAAACTCTTCAAAAGCATTGCTGAGTCTGTGTCAGTTTTGAGGATCTGATACGTGTGCTTCAACGTCTTTAGAAGATTCGAGTAACATAACTTTTAGATGAGATGACCACATGATTCAACATAATTCAAAGGTGCTAATAAGAGAACAAGAATATGGCAAATAATGTACCATGATTAGGTAGCTGCAAGTCCTCTTGAGGACACAAGTTTTGTTCCTTATTTCTTTGTCTGGGTTTTGGAACTGCAGGTTGTGTCTCTGCAGCTGCAAAACGTAAACATTGAGAATGAAATTATTGTAACCTGAGGCGGATTCAGGATTTGAAGCTTATAGGTTTCTATAACAAAACTCAAGTTAATACTATACAACAATAATTGGATTTACACTCAAATATTTATAGATATTTAGTAAATTTTGCAAAATTTACTGAATTCATGTGAACCTGTAACCAACAATACTAATGAAGAGGAGGGAACAAGATACTTGCCTGTATTTATGTAACGCTTATGTTGCTTTGGAGTCACAATTATCAAAGATTGTTGCAAAAGGCCACTTCGATCAACAATTTCTTGGCATGTTTGCAATTTCTATTAAAAAAAAATTAACACAAAAAAAGGAAAATGACAAGTTAGGAGACTCATAATTCTTCCTCTATAAATGAATAAAATTTCTAGTAATAGAAAAACTAATTGCTTATAATGGACTAAGAAAACACCGAATGCAAGTAAGTTCTTACCATATACCAGATCAACTAAAAGAGTAACTACAAGTAACCGTTCATAAAGAGTATAAGATCGTTAACCTCAAAACTAAGACATGTTACATGCTACAACATGTTAACAAATATCAAAAGTTCCTTACACTATCAATATAACAACAACAACAACAATAGCAATAATCATGGTACGCCACAGTCCCAAACAAGTCGGGACTGATTATATATATGAATCTTTTACACTGTCTGTATATATAAGTCAAGTATATTACCTGTTCCATGCACGAAAATCGAAGCTTGGTTGTAGAAAACTCATCAACTTTTTCATCCAAGAAAGTATTTAATTTACAAGCCACAGAGCCCAAATGATCCACACTACTAACTAGAGCTTTACTCACATAATCTTTCAAAGTCTCTATCACTCTGTACACATTTTTAATCAAAAGAAATTTGAATACCTAAAATTGATTAATAAAAAAAATAAAAATATCCAACAAATAATTCAATGAGAAAGGGAATTACTTACAATGTTTTGTGTTCATTTTCTCCATAAGATGACTCAAAGTATTCAGCAGCAGAATACAACTGTTTCCTTAAATTCTTCAAGTCCTAAATTGCCAAAAAACACACACACAAAGAGTTTAAGTTATATACGTTGACATTATACACAATCATGAAAAGTTAACTTGCATTGATAGGTAATTAGAAGTTTATGGTGTATTGAACTTTTCACCAGATCCATAGCTCGTTTTAGTTATTGGGTTCGTAATCAAAATGTATATGGTCTAAGCAAAACCTACTAGGTTCGTCTGAATATAGTTCCGCGTTGGTAGGTAACTCTTCATATCAAAGATTGGTAAAATAATCTAGATAATGAAATGAGAACTTGCTATAACTAGTAAAATTGCATTGATAGTGTAAAAACTTATGTACAAATTCAATGCATATAGCTTAATCCAAAATGAAAACCTTCATTTATGCCATAAAAAACCCAAGATTGAATCTTTTATCACATTAAACACGGATACAGTCAAATCTTTCTATAATAGTTATCGTCTGTAATAACATTTTACTATAACGATCAAGTTTTATCTGGAACTGATTTATCATGTTATATTATATTATATGTTCTCTACAATACCAACATATCATGTGTAATCCGACAAGTGAGGTATGAGAGGGGTTATGTATACACAACCTTATCCCTACCATGTGAAGTTAGAGGGGTTGTTTCTGAAAGACATTCGGCTCAAGTAACACAAATCCAAATCAATAAGGAAAAAGAAATAATGAAGAATGAAATAATAGCACACAAACAGTACGTATTATATGTTCTCTATAACAACATTTCACTATAACAACCACAAAAAATAATCCGAACACACATGTTGTTATAAAGAGATTTGACTGTTATAAAGAGATTTGACTGTAAATTATAATGGAGAAATGAAAGTTCATACCTTTAAACTATCAGAAAATTGCAAGCTATGCTGCATGAAGATTTCATCATAATTTGAACCTTCTTGAGAACCATTTGCTCCACAAAATGGATTCTCATTTCCCATGTTTAGACTATAGTATTTTGACTCTTGAAAATAACAAAAAAAATAAAAATAGAACAGAGCAAACTTGCAAATATAAAGGATAAAAGATTTAATATATCTAACAAACTCCTAAAGTGTAAAATAAAAATTCAAACTTCTAATTCAAACCTAATATTCAAAAATGAATTTATTGGGAAACTGAGAAGAAGAAAAAAAGTGAGAGCAGAAAAAAGGGACAAAAGATCATCAATAATACAAGTGGTGGGAAGTGATGTGTGAGAGACAGGGCTGTGGGGTACCAAGAATCTAAAAGGATGGGCTCACATATACTCAAAAGTTACGGATTTAACCGAACTCAATAATTTTAATTTGATATATATATTCGTATGAAAAAGTCGCTTGATGTATAAATAATTTATCTACAACTCAATAAGCAAAAAAGTAATATTTGTTCTCAATCATAGTAGAATGAGGTTTTTTCCTTTATCAATACTTATTTTTATGTTTTTCTTTCAAAAACTTATGAGATGCTATTTTTCTAGAGTTCGACTCTTCAATCTAAAAAAAAGATGATCGATCGTAGTTCAAAATCTATAATATAAAATTTTGAATCCATCTTTTTTTTTTTATATATATATATATAATGTGAGGCATGCTTCTAAAACATGCTTTTAACATTTAGTGCCACATTTATGGTTGTAAATGTTTTACCTTATTGTCAGGGTACCTTGTTCTTTTCTTTTTTCCCTTCCCACATAAAATAATAGTGATTGATCCTTGACATATATATTGTCCATTTTAGCTCAAGAGACTTTTAAAAATTTATCTTAATAGATTTCATATAGAGCAACTTTCACGAATAGCAAACATAAAAATCATATTTGTATGTTATAGCTATAGTTTGCATAATTGCGCTCCATAGCAAATTTTTATGTTTGCTCTAGAGCTTTTGATTTGTATAATTCGCTACAAACATCCAGTTTTATACAAATTGTTCAGTTTTGTATAAATTCATTTATACATTATAATTTATATAATAATGTTTGTATTTGTATAATTATAAGTGTATAGGACGAAAATATATGTATTTGTATTTGTATATACACTTTTCTCTCGCTCTATACAAACACAAATGCATTTTATACCGAAATGTATAAAATGGCTAATTGTATACCGAAAATGGCTAATTGTATATCAAATCAGATGGCGAAAAAAGGAAATGTTTGCTGCGAATTACAATTAATATAAACTATGGCTATTACATTTAATTTGATTTAACAGTTTGCTATTTCATATAATTTTCAACTTTCACATATAGCAAACAAAAAAATCATATTTGTATGCTATAGCAAAGTTTGCATAATTGTGCTCCATAACAAACATATATATGTATAATTCGCTATACATATACAATTGAAAGCTATGTATATATCGCTATACATATATATACAAAAAGAAGCAATTGTATAATTCGTTGG